CCCCAAAACCCCAAAACCCCAAAACCCCAAAACCCCAAAACCCCAAAACCCCTTTTTAGGAAGTTTGGATTGAAATTATAGAAAATTTTGTGAAATGGTGTTATTTTAGACTTGGAGATATCAAATTTAATCATTGGAGAACCTTTGCAATAGCTTTTTATGGTTGTACCTAAGTTATAGGATTGAAAGATGCTGCCTGTATTGTGATAAGCTAATTGGTAAGATTTTGCTAATGATGTCAGTCATGAGACATAATCATCGAGATAGTTTTATTGAATATATTAAGAGAGGGGTAAGAAAGGATCTCTAAGACATTTGTAATTATGCAACTATTCATCAATGTGATTTCTTATCCCATCCTAAAAGCCTCCAAATTTTTGAAGTTTCTAAAATACAGTTTATAAAAACCTAACCAAAATTAATAAAAACTATAAATGCTGGCTGACTATTGGGACAAGACTTTGAGAGCTAATTTGAAAATTTCATACTTCTCCTCAAGTGAATTACAAATAGCTTAGTAGTCTCTAAGACTGGTTTTTGGGGTTATAAAATCTTGGCCATTTATTACAACCTCCACCAATACTAGCCCTCCCCAAAATGGTAGCCTGAATATTATAATATACATGAAGGAGCAAATTTGAGGTGTGTCAATACCACTGATACACATGACTAAAGCTTTTGTAATATTTTAGAAATGATCAGAGTATTATAAAGGAACTTAATAATTTTAAGGACTTCCATTCTTGACCAACAACTAAACAATCGTAAACCTTATTATTTAGAAGCGATGTGTAGTTGGTATTTTATAAAGATGAACATAATTTCTTTGACTGGCTAGGATCTCAAGAACCCAAAAATTATTTCATCGATCAAGAAAATATTGCTCATTTAGGAATAATTCAATTCGCACAAGTCCTAGGTTTAGACTAGGTTTAGAGGCACGCCCGAATTCATGAGACATTAGGAGCCATTAATAATACGACATCCTATTGTTTTTCTATTTTGCGTAATTTTTAATCCTCTAGTTTACTGAATTAGTGTCTCGAACAATCCTGGTGAAACTCAGATAGCTCACATATAAAAGAGAGAAAGAAAATATTTAATACAATTAATTTAAATATGGAATTGTACAAAAACTACGAGAACATCAGCTGGGATTCCTTCTCAAAATGGGGCATTCATGATTGATTTCGAAAACTAAAGGAGACCTATTGAGTCTGCTCCTTAGAAAGCATCCCTGTTTCAAAATTTGGAAGATATTGATCAGATGGAGATCAAATTTTTTCTCCACTTCCAAAAGAGGTCAAAGTTCCTTTTAACATAAAGTAAGAAATTATTAAGAGCAGCCAAACCTGCTTCTATAGCTTATGCTCTCCCTTTCCAGTAAGATTTTGACCGGAGTATAGTTCAATCAGGCCTGAGCAAAGAAATAAGGAGGTTTCTCATGACTCTGATGTGAAATCACCTGAAGCAGAGACGAATATAATTAGAATACCTTCTGAACAAAGTCAGGTGATAGAAGAAGAACATAAGGATGACTCAACGACAGTCAAACCTATCGCCCACAGAACTAGTCGTTCAGCAAGACTAGACATCACTGATAAGCTGATTGCTCTGAGAAGTATTATCATGAACAATCCTGTATCACCTTTCAGACGTTCATCCAAGAAGACGAGGTTTACTAAAAATAAGTACCTTGGGAGGAGATCCAAATACATTGGAGTTACAAAGAACAATATCCACTGGCAGGCGCTGATCAATGTCAATCATGCTAAGAAGTACATTGGCACTTTTACCGACGAAATCGAAGCTGCTAAGACATATGACTTATTTGCACTAGCAATGCAGGGAAGGCGAGCACGCCTCAACTTCAATTACCCTCCTCAAAAAATAGTTGAAATGATCGACCAATATCTCGCCCACAGAACTCTAACCCCTAATACCTAACTTCTCAAAATACCCATCCCAGCTTCTAAACCCACCTCCTAAAATTTCCTCTCACCAAAATCCGCTCTTTCCCTCCCCAAATTCCATATTTCCCTTTCAATTACCACCTTCCCCAACGGGGTTTTGGGGTTTTGGGGTTTTGGGGTTTTGGGGTTTTGGGG